AGATGCTTGCTAAGACTCATGCTAGCCTCCCTTCCAAAATCATTCTGGCGCATTCAAACCATTTAAAATATCTGCAATGGTTCTACTTTTCAGGACCCAGTTCACTATCCTAGCCTTGCAGACAAGTATGAAAGTGCTTTAGAAGATCTGCATTCCAAACATCACTGCAGTACATTAAAGTACCAGGTGAGTGGTATTTTTGTTTTTTGAAATTCACAGTCTGGGCTATAGTGCTTTGACCTGGACATTCCCACTGTCTCTCCATGAAACTCAAGCTCCGTAAGTCCAAGTTCCACTTCTGGTAAACTCATAGCCTCCTTTAGGGGTAATTAAAATTCCAAAATCAGTGAAGAATTGTGATTAAAGACAAATCTAGCAGTGGTATTTTGTCGATTTGAGTCTTAAAGGTCACGTGCTTTGCACTGTGGCCTTGTACCACAGACACACATGAGCTGGCCACCTTGTCACGTGTTTCCTGCTCTGGGCACTGCAGGCATCAGAGTCCAATAAAGCCAGGCTCTTCGGCAGGGCCGTGGGCTGCTTTGCTTTCATTTTCAGAGGAAAAGACACAGCCCCTGGAGGTTGATGAAAATGCAATAATGCTTTTAAGAAGAACTGCTGATTTGTTTAGCGTGAATGTGAAGATATTTCACTCCCTTAGTCCCTATTCTCCTAGTGATTTTTCTGTGAGTTACATTTTAGAATTGAATCAAACGTAAGTACTAAGAGCTTTTCGTAAGCTCTCCTAATGAAGGCTGACTATTAGAAAACAGAATTCCTAACTCTCAAATGGCATTTTCTGCCACCTCATAAAAATATTGCCTGAAGTCACCCTGTTGGTAAAGTGGATACAGTGTGGTGTGTTTTTCCTTGAAATTATTATTAGGAAACTTGACCTTGAGAGTTTTAATAAGTCAAGAACATGAAAAGGCTTTTTAAAGCATTTGTTCACTGAATCTAATGTTGGATTTAGTTGTAAAAGCTTATAATATGTCATAATGAACATTGAAGCTGGTGTGTATTCCTTGAGGTTTTCGGTTCAATGTTTAAAAGTTAAAATGCACCAAACTCCATTGAAAATGATCATTTTGAAAGTTAAAAACAGCTGCCATCTCCCCTGGTGTTCTTTTCAAATATGATAGTTGAACCCTTCGGCTTGTAAATGCCCTAATATTTCTTAAACAATGGAATAAATTTCAGAAAGAAACAACAGCAAATTCATAGATATCGAAATCATCCAAAGAAAAAGGAAATTTTTCACATAGTGCATGATCTTGAATGAGAGTTTATCATTGATTGCAAAACAAAGTTTTAGATACAAAGTGTCTGCCAGATAGGTGAGTTTTGCTTTTGTTTTGCCTGTGGTTTTTCACACGCACATACAAATATCCGCATTGCTAGAGCAACGTCAGCACTCACGAATAGCATTTTCCCCCTAAATCAGTTCATTTGTTTTGAAAGCATTTTGACACAGCTTCAAAAGATCACCAGTTTGAGGTGGCAACATTCTTCCTTCCATAGTATCTTTAGCCAAATACTAAGCGGAAGCAGGTAATGGAGGACAGCCTCTTTTACCAGTAGATTTATCATGACTGACTGCAAAAAAAAAGAAAGAAAGAAAGAAAGAAAGAAAGAAAAAATGATATCTTTGACTATAGGACAAAGACATTTTTGGAATTTTTCCTCAGTTTTTTGGCCAGCCTCACACAACATGGTTTCAAAAGACTTTTTTTCAATGTGATGAAGTGTTCCGTTGGTTACAGTGAAACGTGTTATGTCAGTTAACTCCCAGACCCATTACAGATAGCTATGAATGTCTTTCCTTAATGTCTGAGCTTGTGAAGTATCTGGAAGTTTGCTTTTCAGGATGAAAAAAGTTCTTAGGGTTTTAAAAAGAAGATGTGGGTGATTTTTTTCACTCAAATGTGGTTCAGGTTGAAAGCCCAAGCAGCATCCCAGCTCAGCACTTTGGGGGATATTTTGCAGAGGAAGTCAATTCCTACCATCTGCAACATATGAAAAACCACACCTGGTAGAACCTCATTGTTGGTTTTTCCTTTTCGTCACTATCTCAGCTCCTCGAAGCAGAGGAGGAAGAGGAGAACTGAGGGGAGTCCTTTGCCATGAGGACGGGGCAGTGTGAGCTACGTCAAAGGGCTGGAGTGTTGGGACTGCCTCCAATCTGTGCTCATGCCTGAACCCCAATAAGTAAACTTTTCTCTAGTTTTCCCTAGTCCCCTACATTCGTGGCCTAATATCTACCTTTATTTAATGGAGCCCTGGGCCAAGGCCTACCTAAATTATTTTTCTCGATAGTCTCCTGCTTTCTAGCTTATAAAGTCAGGATGACTCAACAATAACCGAAAAAGAAAAAACAAAAACTTAGTCAATACTCCGTTTTTTGTGCCCTGTATTATACTAACTACAAAATTGAAGTTTACATTTAAGTAAAAGAAATATGAAATTAGAACAATAAATGCTTATCAACAGTGTTTATTTTGCAGCAAGATGGTAAATTTTATATAAAATAGGAATAAGTGCATCCTACACAC